TTGGCTCCTGCTGTCCCCCTTGATCTCACAGATGGGCACAGCTAGGTGAGCCCCAGCCAGGGGAGGACCCGCAGCAGCCGCCCTGCCCGGCCCGCCCGACGCCTGCCCACTGGACTGTCCAGCTGTGCCGAGCTACTTCCGCCCCCCGCCCCGCCCCCCGGCTGCCCTGACCACACTGTCCCTGGGCCCCGGGTCCCCCGCGGGGCCGAAGGCTTGGGGGACGTGGCCGGACACAGCCTGCTGTTGGGTTGGGGCGCTGGTGGGTTCTCTGGCGCTTTCTGGCCTGGCGCCCCCGGAGTCTGGCAGCCGCAGCTGGCGCGTGGGGTTAATAAACACCTTTTCTGTTCCCACCTGAGCCCCGAAGCCTTTGGGGAACTGAGTAGGGGCTGGAGCGTCCCCTTGGCGCCCGCTGGCTGCTGGCTGACGCGTGAGGTGCCCCACGCTGGGGAGCGCCTGCCAGTGCCCGGCCTCTGCCGGCTGCGTCTCTCGACTCCGTGGAGGAGCCAAGCAGGTGCTCCAGCTCCTGGCTCCAGAGCCCGCGCTGGGGCGCCGCACTCGCCCTGGAGGGAGCAGCGGGAGCGGCGGCCTTGAGCCCGGCACAGCGCCCGGGAGCCCGCCGGTCACTCAGGATGTGGCGGGGGAGCCCCAGGCGGCGGGGACCTGGAGGGAGGTGAAGGTGGCCAGACCAGAGCCCGCCGGGAGCACCGTCCACCACGAAACCCGGTGGAGGCCAGCGCCTTGTCCGTTCCCTGCCCGTGACCTCCACTCCCGGGCCCACGGCGGGGTCTTCACGTCCGAGGAAGGCTGCACCGGCTCCAGCCACGTCTCGTCCCAGCCGACTGGGGGACGGCAGGGGCGGGTCGCCCGCACCCCTGCGTACCTCCCTAGAGCCAAGTTCACACCCCAGCCCACCCCCGTGGGGCTGCCCGTGAGCTGCCCCTTGATCTCAGCAGAAGCCTTGCAGTGGGGGGCCACGTGCCCCCTAAAATGCAGGGTGGGTGAGGGAGACCCCAAGTGGCAGGGCACGGAGCGGACCTGCGAGAGCAGGCGGGTCCTGAGGGGCAGGGGGAGCTGGAGAGGCCACTCTGTAAACCGGCCGGGAAGGGGGCCGAGGCCCTCCAGGACGCCGCTGGCACCAGGAGTCGGGGGGC